GTTAACTTTTCCAAATTCGAAAAGTGTAGTGCTAACTTGACACACGTGAAATCAGCTGCTGGATAACCTGCAGTGATGGAAAAGGTGGTATAATCGTACCTTTATTTAGTTTGAAAGTACAAACACACAATTTAAGGTACATTTGGAACGTAGTCAAATAACTTTTCAGGAAATCAGTTCTTATTTTTATTGACATTTCAATGCATTTTCTGGTGCGGGTAGACCAGTTGCTTCCCTCCTTTGTGAAGGGGCATACAAATGATATAGAAGGGTAGCCAAAGTAACACAACTGTAGTTGATTTCGGCAGATTGACGGAAAATATTTCTTTTTAAAACGTCGTATTGAAGAACTGGGAGGAAAATGATTAACCTTTTCTACACCATAGTTTTGTTTCGCTCTGCTCGAAGAGACTCTTTTCATAGCCAAAATTTGTTTAATGTGAGCACAGAAGTTAATATGGTTTCGTTGAAAGTTGTTATCCTCCTATTTTCTTTATATAGAAATAGTTGTTTACTTTTTAGGTACATCCGTCTACTTTTAGGTAAAGTTTTCCGTAAATTAGGTAAATTTTATAATGATGGAATATCAGCTGTAAAAGAGGACCAGAAACAAACAGCTGGTTGCTCTTTGTTCAATAAACATACTTCCAAGTCAAAATTAAACATACCTAGCAGGGTCGCATAGAGAATCTGACACAAATTAATTGCCAATTAATTACACTGGTTTACAGCAAAAATGTTCTATGGATGCCACTATCCAATTGCTATGTAGAATTGCTCGGTGATTCCGAAAATCGAGTTTTTTTTTTTCTATGGATACGTTTTCGAGACATTTGCATTTACCGTTATTGAGCTTAACTCGAATATGCCCAGTACTTTGTTGGCTCAGATTTCGAAATTTTTTTTTAAGGTTGCTTCTTATAGGGATGAATGTGGCAATCGATGCCGTAAACCTATTCCTTGGTTTGTATTTAATAATGAAACCACTCACTGTAATTTTTATTTGAGTACAAAAAATGTTTCATTTATTCGTGGACTGTTTCGTGTGTACATATATTTCCCGAATATCAACCTCTTTTTTTTTGACAGCCAACGCCAATGTGTTCGCGTTGTGTAATTGTACATGGTTGCATTTAGTTATTAGTTATATCAGGGTTACAATGTTGTAATTTTACGTATTGAATATGCCCATGCACATTAGGTCAAATGATACATTTGGCTGTGCGAAAGTCCAATTTCGTAAAGGCAGTTTTACATTATTTTTTGTTGCCATTCTGTAGAGAATACTCCAAAATAACAGAAACTTCACTTAGTTTTTGTAAAATAAAAAACACCGTTATACAGCAATAAGCCAAAGTTACACTTTCAAAACGTTATTGATACGTTGTTTGCGCAACCGGTTTATTTTGTAAATTTCAAGTGCATTGTTTTTGTAAAGTTCGAATAACTAAAGGAAAATTTTAAATTGGGAAAAAAACTATATCTAAGTGAGAACCTATGTCCCAATTTAAAAAAGTGACTTTTTATCATTTGTTTGCAAAAAACTGACTTATTTGCATAACCTCAAAAATTTTTCTGATTTATTTCAATTTATGATTTTATGTAAGCTTTTACAATTTTGTTAACTTTCGGCAAACAAAATGGAATCGGAAATGGATAAATTAAGATGTAATGAGTTCAATTTATTTTACTTAATTTGCCGTTTTTAGCCGTTTTCATGAAAAAAGGTTTTTTGTGGGCTATCATGCTATCACAAAAGGCAAGTTGTTTGAAGTTTGGCTGATTGGATGTTCGAAAAAAGAAAAGCCTTTTTTCGGTTGTCAACCATGTTGAAAAAAATTTGGTGCTGCTGATATTTGCGAAAGTTCCATGAAACGCTTAGAAGAAAAAAACGCGTATTTTTTGCAATTATTTATCAAATAAATATGAAAATTATGGGAAACAATTTGGAAAGGATGCTAAAATATTTATATCTGAAAACATTGCGTTTCTTGCTGATGAGGTTCTTTTCGAAATCAAAAAGCCAACTGTGTCGACCATCAGCCGGATTCTAACTTTCGCTATCGCTAAAGTGCTAAAATAGGATAGCCAACCTTTTTCCGAATTTTTAGCTATCTCCAAAAATATCTCCAACATTTTTTGGTGATAAATAATCCATTTTAATGGTGATAAATAGTGAAAATGGAAGTATGTGATACCAAAAAAAAATAGCAGCCTCAATTTGCATTACATTTCATCTCCTGTAGCGTAGCCGAGGCTATGTTACAAATACACTAGCGCCTTCGCAAAAAGGCAAATCCTTGAGAGAACTCACGGACTGAAATTTCCAATTTTTTTTACTCAAAGTGAATAGAGCTTTGAACATTCTTTTAACAAATTAGTTATATAAACATTCGTATTCTTTTCAGGAAGTTACCAGCGATTTTCGGTAAATGTGTCACAAAGCAGCATTTGTATTCTGAATATAAATAGATAATATCGGTGGAGAATTTGGAAATACTGAAACCTCAAGTGAAAATGAAGTGATTTATGAAGACAAACTGCTTTAGGAATCTCTCCTCAAGACATATCTGCGAGACATGTAGTAAATATTTTTCTTTTTTTAATTTAGGAATTTCGATAATGCCATAACTAATCGCTAGAAGAATCCATTTATGTACATGTGACCATACTTATTTTATTATATAGCTCATTTTAAAGAGGAGCGGGTTGTGTATGATAAGAAAATAATTTGTGTCAAAACCAAGCTAATTGGACAATGTTTTTGAGTAATACCTAAAACATATACTCATCATTTGAACATACAAAAAAGCAGTAAGTTCTGTTTTACGAAAGCCAAGTCTGTTTAACATTTTATTTACTGCCTTTACACTTGTTTTAACGTTTTCCATCTTTTTACATTAAAATAATGCAATATTTTAGCTGCTATTAATTTCGCACAGAAAAAGTAATCATTTGACCTAATGTGCCATGTTAAGAAATGGAACTGAAAGTGTAAACATCTCGGGCCCATTTGAAAGCTTGCGCTTTCAAACATCTAGAAACAATGGGCATAGCTTGACGATGGGGCGTTTATATATTCCCTTAGTTGTTTTAGCAGAGACTACTCGTACCAGACCGTCCTTGCCTGGATGGGTATCAACCACTCTTCCGATGGACCATAGGGCTGGTGGAAGGAGATCATCCTTTATTATTACGATGTCGTTGCATTGCAAATTTTGTAGTGTTTGTGACCATTTTGGGCGTTGTTGTAATTGACCGATATATTCTGTTGACCATATATTCCAGAATTGCTGAACTAGGTATTGTAAATACTGCCAACGTTTCAAATAATTTACCTCGAGCATAGATGACATTGGTCGGAAAATTAGAAAATGGGCAGGGGTTGATGCGTCCTCATCCCCTTCGAATTTTAAACATATTGGTCTTGAGTTCAAGCAACTTTCAATTTGACACAATATTGTGGTAATTTCTTCATACGTTGCGGAGGCGGATTCAAGTGGAACTTCGTTGATTTCACTCCGGCCTCCCACATGCCACCGAAATGCGGGCCGGAGGGTGTTGAGAAATGCCATTGAATGTTTTGATCTACCAATTCTCTCATTATTTGCTCTTGTCTTGCTGATCTGTTCACAAATTGAATTACTTCGCGTAGCTGTTGATTGCATCCAACAAAATTTGTTCCAGAATAAATGTGGCATGGTCTGCCACGTCTCGCCAGGAATCTTCGCAGACAAGCCGTTGTTGAAAATTCTGTAACCAATTCCAAGTGAATAGCCTTTGTGACTTGACACACAAATAATGCAATCCAAGACTTATAGCGCTTACTTCCACGACCGCACTTGTATAGGGCCGGCAAAATCCACGCCGGTGTTGGGAAAGGCGGAGCCAGTTTCAAGTCGATGTCGGGGAAGATCACCCATTTGTTGTTGGAAGGGCTCGCCACGAAATCGCATGCACCGAACGCATTTGTATACACAGCGTTTGACTAGATGAGTTATGCCGGGTATCCAATATTTCAATCCTAATAAATATTGAAGTTGACGGCTTCCAGCGTGCAAGTATCGTATATGATATTCCTTCACAATTAGCTCAGTTAAGTAACTGTCTTTGTGTAAGATTAATGGATGCTTTTGTTCATAACTCATGTCAGCATTGTCAATTCGACCACCAAATCGTAATAGGCCATATTTGTCAACAAATGGCGCAAGTGATGCCAACGTGTGGTTTGCTGAAAGCTGTTTTTTAGCCGATAAGGCTCGAATTTCAGCCGCGAAGGACTTCACTTGGACATTCTTCATTAACACATTGTGGCCTGTCTGTAGTTCGGTTACTGTAAGTAGCCCTGTTATCCGTTCGGACTTAGCCCTTTTGCAATTTTGTGTGAACCTCAGAATCCAAGTTGTGATCCTAAGCAATCGGTTGTAGTCTGAAAATCTTTTGATGTGATTGGCTTCGGAAGTTGTAGCGATGTGAATAACATTCCTTCACTCTTCCATGTCGACGTCGTTGGGTGCCTCGAAATTCTGCTGTTCTGTTGATTCATTACAATACTTCAAAATGTCTGGCCCATGCCACCACAACTTGTTGTTAATGAGAGCCGAAGGCGATATACCTCGTCGCTAAGTCCGCAGGATTTTGCTGTGAACGAATGTGCCGCGATTGTTTAGCATGTACAATTTAGTTACGTACGATGTTCTGTTCGCGACAAATGATTTCCAGCGTCTTGGATGATCCGCAATCCAGACCAACACTACCGTGGAATCTGACCAACCAAATATCCTATCATTCTCAATGTTGAATATATGCTGCAGCTTCACCATCCGTTTTACCATTAGCTGCGCCGCGCACAACTCCAAACGTGGTAGTGGGGCTACTCTAGTCTTTGCAGCAATAAGATTTGTATAGATTAGTCCATCTGGACGTCGCACCCACAAATATATTGCAGCTAAATATGCCAACTCTGATGAGGCAGCGAATCCGTGGAGCTCGACGTGTCTGTTGTCTGACAATTGTAACCATCTTGGAATCTGCAGGTTGGTTATCTGACACATACTATCACGTAACACAAGCCATTGGGTTAATAGATCTTCGGGCAATGGTTGATCCCAGTCAATGCCTCTCAGCCACAGCCTTTGCATACAAATTTTAATGCTAACGACAACTGGTGCCAAACAACCGATCGAATCGAAGATATTGCATATATCAGACAAGACTGCACGTTTTGTAACGACATGTGGCATGGCCTCCAGCGCCACACTAAATTTAAAGCAATCCTTGGTTGTATTCCACAATAACCCCAAGGTTTTCACGGTTTGGGTATCATTGATTACGGTCTCTGTAGAGGACTCTCTGTCTTGTGTGGGAATGCTATCAATGAACTGTGGTGAATTCGTCGACCATTTCCGCAAGTTAAATCCAGCACTGTCAAGAATTTTACACAAATCATTTTTTAGTTTAGTAGCCCCCTCTACACTAGTTGCGCGTGATATGAAATCATCTACGTAAAAACAGGTTTCGATAGCGCTTGGAACATTGGGATTCAGTTCTGCATTGTCAATCGCTACTTGACGCAGTGTTCTGGTAGCCAGGAAAGGCGCGCAGGCTGTTCCATAGGTCCTTAAATTGTATTCCTGTATTTGCTTATTTGCATCACCCCTCCATAAGATGCGTTGATACGAAAGATATCGTGATGTATGAGCACCTGGCGGTACATCTTTTCTATGTCCCCAATGAACCCGATTTTATACCTGCGAAATTGTATTAGGATTGTGAACAGATCCTTCTGTATTGTAGGACCTACAAGTAGTTGCTCATTGAGTGACGTTCCATTATCTGTTTTACAGCAAGCATCAAACACTACGCGTACCCTTGTTGTAGTGCTGCTATGTTTCAACACTATGTGGTGTGGCATGAAATAGGTATTGCTAGATGAGCAGCTCCTTGCTACTTCAATGTGTCCTAACTCGAAAAATTCGTGAATAAAATCGGTATACTGTCTTTTAAGAAATACATTTTTGCAGAATTTGCCTTCCAAACCACGAAATCGTTTTAACGCCGCCTGCCTCGAGCCCCCAAGTTAACCATTGTACTCTTAAATGGGAGTCTGACGATGTATCGTCCACTTGGGTCCCTCTGAACGTGTTGCTGGAAGTGTTTTTCTGCTTGCTCTTCTTCAGGTGTCAGGTAACTCATTGTTTCGTTACATTCCTCGATTTTCCAAAACTGCTGCAGTTGCTCACCCAAGTCGACTGTCATATGTGCTGCTACTATTTCAAGATTTCGCTGATCAGCTACGTTACCGACAATAACCCAGCCGAAAATGGTTTGTATTGCACTTGGAGCTCCACTTGGATGTACAATCTTGTCTTGTAGTAAGCACCCACGATGATGTCAATCCGTCCACTTAAGTTGTATTGGGGATCAGCCAATTTCAGGTTGTTGAAATAATCAAGTTTTTCGTTGTTGATTGTGTGGCCAGGAAGATTTTGTGTCAAGCGATCCACACATAAAGCCTCCGTTGTTACCATCTTCTCATAATATGATGCCTTCAATTGTAGGTACACCTTACCCTTTGTATAACTTCTAGTGCCTGCCCCGACCCCATGAATTAAAGTTGTATCATATGAACGCTTAAGCTCTAGACGCTGTGCTCACGCCTCAGAAATGAGCGTGACTTGTGCACCCGAATCAAGTAGTACTCGACATGGTTGAAAGCTCTTTTGACCGTCTAATATGAGTACCGTTGCTGCTGGTAATAACGCTAGTGTTTGGTTGTATTGATGTGTCGCATTAACGCTAATCGACGAATGCCTCTGTTGCGCTTCTTGCGATTGTGCCTTGATTGGATTTGTTGTTACCCGGTGGAGGAACGAATTGTGTTTTTCGTTGAGGATTCTACAATTTGAGCGTGTGCATTGCGCTGCACGATGATTGTCTTGAAGACGGTTAAAGCATCTGTTGTTGTTACGTACTATATTAATTCGCCTTTCAATATCTAACATTTTGAACTGATTGCAGTGGAATAAAGCGTGATTCTTTGCGCATACGGGGCACGTTTGTATAACCGAAGTGTACGCACTAGATTGGTTTCGACACTTGTTGGCGTTGGGTTTCGATTCTGCTGCTTTGATTCCAGATTTGATCAAATTTCCTGTCTTCCTTTTGACGCTTTCCAGCTCAAATAGTCGCTCCTCTAGAAAATTTAGAAATTGTGCAAAAGTAGCTACTTGATCGGATTTCTTCTCTCTGTACAACAGGATTAGTGTTTCGGAATCGATCTTTTTTTCTATGTGAAATAATAATACGGAATCCCAGTGCTCTACAGGCTCATCGACCGCTTTCAAGGCATTAATTCCTTCATTTAATGTGTTCACGACTATTTTTAGTTCAGATGGCGACAGACACTTCATCGCCGGTTGATCGAATATTAGTTCCAGATAAGCCCTTTTTACCTTGTCGTTTTTATTATATTTTTTGCTAAGTAAATCCCAAGCTATCTTATAGTTTTCGTTTGTAGGCCTTAAATGCTTCACCAACGACAACGCGTCTCCCTTGAGTCTTGTTTGCAGGTGTTCAAACCTTTCCACGTCTGACAAACTAGCTCTAGTGTGGATCATGGCTTCGAATAGGTCACGAAATCGAATCCATTCGGTATACGTCCCATCAAATTCGGGAATTTGAATATGCGGAAGACGAATTTCGTGTTTGTCATGTGTATTACGATCCGTTGTTTGATTAAAGGGTGACGACGCTGGGTCCAACGCAGTGCTATTCGTCATTCTCTCGATTAGAGCACTCATAGGGGTTTGGTGGTCCATAAGTGACTGCATGGCCCTATGTAAATGATTAATAATTAATAATTTGTTTGCGAGGTCAGATAGAATTGAATTCTTTATTTGAAAAGTATTTTCTTTTATACAAATGTTATTGATACCTAATTACACTAATACTTACAA